TCTAGTATAGAGTCATAAAGATTTATATTAAATACTTACGCTCTGGCTACTGTTTTCGTGATTTTTAGCTGATTACCGTCTTTCATGGAAGGCTTTTCTGTAAAGCAGGGCCTTTCTGGTGTCAGCTTCCAGCCTGGAAGGCAGAAGGAAGAGAAGTGGGGGGTGGGGGTGTGTTTTGACAGCTGAGGCTGCTGGAGCCCTAACAAGAAAAAAACCCAGATGTGGTTTAAGTACTGAAATCATCAGGGCAGACTTTTCAGGCAGTCTTGCTTTGAGTCTGATGTCCAACACGTGATGCACGTTCAGTGATATCCTCTGTGAAATGACCACAGGGCCGGCTCTGCCTCATTTTTATCCATTTCTCCTAAGCAGAAACCTTTAGAGTTCTCCCAAACGAGAGCTGTTTGGTTTCCTGGAAGGCAGTGGTTCCTCGGACTCAGACCGGTGCTGAGCGGGGTTTTTTTTCCATCGTGCCTTCATTTCCTCATCTCTACAATGGGAATAACGCTTAACTGGTTTAATCCAAATGTTTGAAGTACGTTAAATGTGCTGTGTAAATACATAATATTTTTGTAATTAACACGTTCCCAACCCCTGCACGGTTTTGGCAGTTTCATAATTACCCTCACAGCGTGCCGAGCTGGTGAAGCTCCGGTGAGGACACAGTGTGTGACGTTGCTTGATCTGTCGTTACGTCTGTTGTTATTTATATTGCCTGGTACGTGGGTAGCAACAAAAGAAGGATGATAAATTTGGAAGTAGTATTTTTTTTCTAGCTAACATATAGTATCGTGTATCATTCCACTTGTTACTTGAAAGACACGTGTCCTAAATTTATTATCTTCAGATGAAGTATATCCTCCTTTTGCACGTAATTGCTCAGATTCTCACAGGACTCACGGCGTTGGGAGGTGGCGGTGAAGTAAACTGGATGAAGTGAATGTTTCCAGCTTTTGTGTATGTGATGCTGTCTGACAAGGTGGAAGGAAATGCCACCGCTCCCGAGGGCCTGGTCTGTGGGCCCCAGGCACATCGTGGCTTCAGTGTTTAATCCCGAGACAAAGGTGTCCTCCGCTTCTCACCTGCTCCACCGGGAACACCCAGACGGTGCAGAGCATCAA